TCCAAAATGTGCCTTATTTGTTAGTTGGGAAAACATTTTAGTGCTGTTGAGCGTTTGTTGAATAAAAGTCATATTGAATTAGGAGTTGGATCATGTGGTTTCATTTCTTATGGGTCCTATGCTGAATTGTTATTACCAGTAACTGGAATGTGTTCATTGGATATCTCAACCCAAAGCAATTGTTATAAGCTTCTGTCTGTGTAATGTTAATTTAAAAGTATATGTTTTAATCATCAGACTACAGCGTCTTTGAGTGCAAGTTTGTAGACTTACACAACACTGAGTGTATGGATTATGATAGAAGTTCTTAATGGATTATTCATGGCGGTTGTGTAACGCAGAAAAGGGGGGAGCCTTATAAAACGTGTTTTTCACTTTCTGTGAAAGTACTGAAAGATAACAGACACATCGAGCTGACATGTCTTGATTTCAACACTTTGGGTTCAATTGTGGACAGGAAAACCCTAACACAAAAAAGGACACCCGCTAACATGGGTGCCGTGTGATAAGTGGAGACTTTTACAGCAGAAGACCCAGCTTGTAGCAGTTGTAAAGATGTCATTGTGTTGCATGTGTTCTAAGCGTTGGCCACAGCACCGTCTCTGGAGCCAAGTTTCCATGAACAATATTGGACATGCATTCCAAATAACTAAAACTAAACCAGAGGGTGGGGACCCAAATTATATCAAGTTTGTTACAACATCTCTTGCTCAAACAGAGTGAGAGCTAAGAGGTCTCTATAGCAACAATGTAATCTGAGAATTCAAACAAACGGTGGAAGGTCAGTGCGCATATGGTTTCATTTAGGGGCAAGAGCTGCTTTTTCACGTCGCTTCATTATTTACTTTCATAAAGTATTAGCTCGATAAGCAGCACCACCCAGTCTCTGGCTTTCAGACATGTCCTGGCCTCCTGTGCTCTTTCTCTATTCCAGACGATGCGTTTCAAATAAAGCAGCAGGGAAGGAAGAGCAGCCCACATACAAGACATTTTCAGGTTCCTCAATAGTTCCAGCAGATTAAATCATCTGCTTCCTCCGTGTCCAATGAGGCTACAGCCTGCAGCTCTATCATCTGTCAACTGCATTCATGTGATATTTCAACTCAACTGTAAGTGGATGTCACATGATGTCACATCCTGCTATGATGGACAGGAAGTCGGTCGCGCTGGAGAGCCGGTGTCTAAAAAAAGCAGCTGGATCATTTCCAGGAAGCCCTAAAACCAGAAGGCTCGACGGCACGAGAGCAAATGTCCTTTACTAATACTAGAGCTAATAAAATGTGAAAACAGTCATTTTATTTGGCAGTAAATGGAGAGTTATTGCATAATAAGAACATTTGACATGGTGGACGACTGAGCGCTTGTACACAAAGTAAATGGGTCAAGTCCCAATATAAAAGCAATATATTTGAACATCATTATCAACAGAGAAATATCAGATTTTAAGATTTGCATCCGTGCCAAAAAAAAACACACCGCCAAAAAAAAAGTTGACGGCTAACTATACTGTAAGATCTATGTCTGACTCTGCATATAGGAAAAATATATCCATACCTGCTGACGGTGGTGGTCTGTGTTTGTCAAATGAAAAGGGGAAAAAGGAAAATCGAGGACTGGGATATACAAACCGTTGTTAGGATACAAACATGAAACAAAGCAGCGAAAATTCCCGACATTGGGCTCTCAGTGGCTGTTTCAGGGCCTTTAAAGCAGAGCAACATCACCTGTGACAGTTTCTCCCCGACGAAAGATAAAGTAAATACCAAATTGTTGCATGGCGAGTCATCAAACAGAAGTCCACTTGTGATTTTGAGTGTTATTTAATCTCCCCACAGTCAGTGATGACAATTTTCTTAAGCACCCCACCGTCGTGTAAACCAAAGGATTCCATCTTGATGACCACGTCCATACCGTCCCTCACCTGCCCGAAGACCACGTGTTTACCATCGAGCCTGTCAAAAGAAGAGACCAAAAGAAACTTCAGCCACCGGTAAGGGTTTGGATGTGGGGACGGTACGAGTGGCAAAGCTGACATGACTGTTTCAAAAGTCCACCTAAATATTTACCATTCAGTTTTAGCCGTACAGATGAAGAACTGGGAGCCGTTTGTGTTTGGCCCTGAATTTGCCATCGAAAGAGTTCCTGCAGAGATCAAAAAGACAACAAGTAAATCAATTAAACGTGATGCAGTCAACAAGATCTTGACCTCATTTTAACACTGAGTCAATAACATTTAGGAGTAAACAGAAGCACAACACGAACAGCTAGGCCTGTTTCTCTTCTCTGAAATGCAAACTGTGACAATGCAACTTAAGCCCTCAATCCTCAGCATGTGGAATATATTTATTTAAAAACACGAGTTATTTAATTAGGTGCATGTTGACTCACTAAAAACTAGGTCAATTGCCTCTGGATTGCAACATCTCCAGAATATAGCCAGTGGTTTTTACTGTGGCATAAAGTTAGGCACTGCCATCTAGTGGAGCAGAAGCTATTTTCAATTATAAAGATCTGGGAAATGATAGTGTTAAGAAGCCAGAGAAGGGACATGTTTGTCATTATATGCATGGGTATATAAGATAACAGTTAACAGTATGGATCATTTTGTTTATATTATATTGACTTATCTAATAGTTTTCAAAAAATGTCAATGTTCAAAATCCCCAATTTGAGATATTTAAGAAAGACAAAGCTTGGCTTTTTTTTTTTGCTTGATACATTTTGTGTTAATAATGTCTTGTGCTAAAACAATTTATTAACTTTTTGTTCACCTGCTTTTCAAGGAATTGAAATGTGTCTTCATTATACAAGAGCCTACCAAACAGATTTCCCATCCAGAAAATGAACAAATTAGCAGTGTTTTTGTCTTGGAGTTACTGATAAAATTCACTGAGAAGTTTGAATTAATATCTATATGGACGGTTGAAGGAATATTTGTGTTGTTCTTCTAAATAAAGATAGAGTTGTACCTGGGCTTGTGTGTTTTAATTTGAAGTTTTCATCATTGAAAGTCTTCCCATATATAGATTTCCCTCCTGTGCCATTGTAGTCGGTGAAATCTCCCCCCTGTAACAGAAAACACAGATTCAGACAACATGGCAAACAACACTTATTGTGCATCTTCACTTTTAATCTTACCTGACACATGAACCCAGGTATGATCCTGTGAAACACAGATCCCTTGAATCCAAAGCCAGGTTCCCCAGTGCACAGTGCTCTGAAGTTTGCTGTGGAATCATCAGTTGTTTTATTCAATACATTAATTTTAAAGGAGTTTCAAGGGGGAAAATAAACACATGCAACTCTTAATATTAAGCAAATGAAATTTAAATAAACATACCTGCAGTCTTTGGCACTACAGCTGCATTCAACTGCAAGATAAAAGATAAAACATATCCCATTCAAAATCAGGGACTAATATTTACACTGAGCTTATCTGTGTGTGTTTAAGTGCTGTTGGACATGCTAGTACGCAGTTATACGAGAGGCTAATGCTAGCTAGCTACCTCAATTGTTATTCTTCCCAGAGGCTCACTGTCGGCCTCGATGTCCAGAAACACGGAGGGGTTTTTGGCGGGGCGGGAGGAGAAACAGCTTCACGGCGGCGACACCCGGCGTGCTGTATCTCATGCGGTTCTTTATTTGTAACATCGTTGCTCAGCTGACAGGGTGAGGAGGACCTGCAGGCCATGGGTGCTGCTGGTGTTTACATGTGACGTCACGTGGATTGACTGTAAAGAGCCGCGCGGAGGTGACAAACAGCGACACCTCGTGGGACGGTTGGGAAGTAAAACGACTTCATTTAGGTTGAAAATAAATGCATACATTCAGTCAATGTCAGAAACGAATACAAGGTCCATGTGTTGTTTAGGAGTCTGACAAATGTTATGAGTCAGTCATGATATGAACAACATTGTGTACTTAGTGGTGTCATGATGGTGTCATGATACCAACTAAACCAGAATCATTATTTTTAAGTTGTGTTGAATTAATTAGGTGATACAACAAATTATAATATTGTACTACGCTACATCACTCTACAATAATAATGAACCCCATTGAGAATGACATTCGCATATTTCAGCATGCTAATCTTTGCTAGTCATATTTACATTTGATTAAATAAGTACAGAAAAGGAACGTCATCTAATTTTGCAGATCTGTTGATAGTCATTTCATTGACTAAAAAAGAGCAGTGATTACTAGTCTTCCTGCATAGAGCAGTTAAAGCTAATTGGATGAATAACAAAATGGCCAAAATACCTATTAAACCTCAAACTGTTACTTGCTGGAACATGTATGCTGATGCCCTTTTTAAATAATAGCTTATGAATAAAGAAACAATTAAAGTTGTTAGATCTTTACATTGCCGACTATTTACACATCACAGTTGTAAATAATAACCAATTAACGATGCCAGCAGCCTAATAATTTGATTATTTACCCCTGAGATTTTCCTAACTATCAGTCAGAAGTCTTTTTGGTTATGTGCTATACCAGTCTGTAAATAAAACCACTATCAAAATGTGTAATGATATTTCAAATACTGTATTACCAAATTCTATGTTCATACAGTATATATATAGTAAAATATGGTCAGTATTCTATTGATTGTGTAGCACAAATGATGTGTTTTATGTTATGGTTTAATGCTGGTTGCACTTTGTATGTCAAAAGACGCAAAAGGCCATTAAATGTGTTTCATCTGAATACATATTTATTAGATAAATATTAGGATGTCACGTCATCTAACTACATACAGATTTGCAAGACTAAAAAACACAATGTTTTTTCCGACCAGTTTAGAAGATGAAATGATTGTACAGAGGATGTACAAAACCAAAGAGACAACTGCCACCTGTTGTGCCAAATCCCTTCTGAGTGTACCTTCAAAGTATACTTTTCCAAATTGCCAAAAAATATATAAATTTGCCAACGTTTTTTAAATTTAAGTGTAAATTTGGAAACAAATTTAAAAGCTGTATGTCTCCATTTCCCAATTATACCTCAAATTGTTTTAATAATTTGTAGCACCTTTATAAAGTACACAGGTAATAGAGAAATACACAGAAGTTTAATATTACACAAAGGAAACATTTCTTTTCTCTTGAAAACCCCACGTGGAGGGGTACATAAAGTATCTTCCATAAAATGAACAGGTGTGGTTAGAGAGGTCTGCACAGACACAATCAAACACAGACTCCATTTTCCAATTCAATGTCCGACAGGAGGATGCAAGCTTTACAAATTCTAAATACACTATGCACACTCCCCCTGGAGAAAATGAATACATTTCTGTTAACTTGTCTCTATTTGTCATTTACATTATATACACGTATCCCTTACATCCCCAACCCCACCCCCAATCCTCTGCCACAACCTCACCTTGTAATGCAAATAGGAGGGGGTCTCCCTCAAGTTCCATTTTACAATATTAATTGCATTCTCTTTTATATCCTCAACTCAATTTCAAATGTCCGCATTGAGACAGTACAATTTGTGTCGCTCAAATTACGAGACGTGATTTTGTGAAAGGTTGCAGTTACAGTTACACACTGTGTAGGGAAATAAAACATCCCAATGCGGCAGTGCATTGTCTTTTACAAACATATAAACAAACGTATACAACATCTGATCCTTCAACTGTGTTATATGCAGGCGATTTGATACATTTTTGAACATCAGTTAAGCCATATTTGGTTCTTCAATCAGATAAAAAATCTCTAATGGGAAAACTAACATCATACAGCATATTTAAAATAACTCAAATGTACTGCATAAAACTGTGTAAACCAAATCATACTTAAAATCACTGGACAAAAATAATAACTTAATATCAAATGTGATGAAAATACACAAATTTCAGTATCGTTATCAAAAACTCATTATCAGGCCTAAAAAATATATACGGGGGACATTTTGCACATTCTCACCATTAAATAAAGAGGACAAAGTCACACTAATGAAATTTAAAAATTTAAAAAGAAATTTGGACCTCTAAGCTGCATCTTTTTGAAAGTAAACAAGTAATTTAAAGCCGACCAAATATGCGTTCTCCCGATGCATTGTTACAAGATATTGGAGAACAATACATAGGTACTCATTACAAGGCCAGTGAGAGTGCATTTGGATCAATTTGTTACAATATTGGACTGGTTAGAAGGTATTCTGTGTGTGTTTGAGTGTGTGTGTGAGCGTGTGTAGTCCTTGACGGACATACAGTACCATGTAGTTGCCAGTAATAGATAGGTACAGTCACAAAGTATTCACAAAGGGTATATACAACAGCTCTGGAAACACTGTTGGATCATGCAGGATTCTTCCCCCCCAAAAAGATGCAATTCAACAGTACAAAACAACAAAAGGAAAGATCAGAACAAACACACAGACGTTTCTATAAAACACAGTGATTTAAAAACTTCTGTAGACGTCTGTAAGATGTTGAAATCCTTCTCTTGCACCAACAAAATATCCAGGGCCAACCCCTTACAAAAAGTATAGGACAACTTTGGTGATGTGTGTCTGAATAATTGATCAAATGTGGGACAAAGATAAAACACTTAAAAAAAGGATGACAATAAAAATAAAAAAAAGAAGATGAATTTGAAATAAAATAATAAATATAAAGACAAGAGAGAAAAATGATTTGATCAAGCACGTTTAGGCTGGACAAAGACAACAGGAGCCATTGGCACACATGCACTTGTGAACAAAATGGTACTGACTTTGATGAGGAAGAGCGAAACATTACAATAAATACACAAGAACGACTGGAGACCGGCTGGAGAAGAAGTACCAGACAGTTCATAAAGTGGATTGTTTTATATTTTTTCACGTTCGATATTCTTCTTCCCTCCTCTGTCTCGGACTTTCTCTCCCCGCTGTCTTTCATATACGCTCGCATGCAAACAAAAGAGAACACGTAAACATACACACACATACGTAAATACACACACTGACACACTCACACACTACATTGCACAATGTGCGCTCGTTTCCTCTGTCGACACTCGAGGACATTTTATCTCGTCCTTCAGTGCTCTGATTCTGATGAGTTCCAGCTTTTTAACTGTCACACACACTGAGAAAATCTCGGGGGGCGAAGGGCATGGCATGTGCCAAGGTTTTGGAAGAACACATTCCAAAAAGGATGAAAACACTCTTACAAGACAAAAAGGAAAATGATAATAAAAAACAAAAAGCTACAACACTTTTCCTAGAGCTCACAGAGGCTCCTGTCTCCTCCGTGTTGTTTACACATGATGATTATAGCTGCACAGTTTTCAGTTGAAAAGTCACAAATATCATATATGTATATATAATATCACTTTAGTGCCCGCCAACATGGCTGTAAAATGTGTGTTTCGAGTCAGAGGCGATGGAACTGGTGCGTGGAATCTTTACACGAGGAAAATAGGGAGTACGGGGATGAGCGGCGTTCCTGTTTTCTCCCTTAGAGTTCTCAATCAGGCGCCTCTTTTCAGCCGTGCCCCTATGCCACACATTATCTTTCGATAAACTCTGTATGCATGTGCGTGCGTGAGCATAGGAAGCTGCTTGAAGTATCGATAGGAGGTCGGTGAGGTGTCTGTGGACGGACAGTCAAACACTTCAGCACTCCTGTTTAGGTGCATAAGGGTTAATAGCGGGGGTGAAGGGCTAGTTGTTCTCGAAAAGGGAGAGAAGGTCGTCGTTGCTGTTGGAGGGAAGATCCGGAGGGTCGAGGTATGATAGTAACTCGTCTGGGTTGGCCAGCTCTGGAAGCAGCTAAAAGGTAGAAAGAGACAATGAGCGGTGAAGGTATATAACCCTGAAAACATATTATCTATCTAACATTGGACGACTTTTAATGAAATGTCTGTTGAAGCCAGTGTACACATAAACAAGCGTAAAACAGAGAGTCAAACAGAGCTGAAAGATTAGAGCAGCTGCAGCAGACAATGTTAGTGTTAACAGAGCAGTGGCCAGAAGCAGACACACTTACATCCAGAGAGGGTTCAGGCATATCCTGCCCGTCTGAGGAGGGGTTAAAGTTCAGATCGCTGTGGGGGTGACAGTTGGGCCCGGGCTGCTGAGGGTGGGGCTGAGGCTGCGTCTGGCGAGGCGGCTGCGATGGTTGGCCACTGTGATGCAAGGGCTGCCCTGACTGCCCACTGTGATGTAAAGGTGGCCCTGATTGGCCACTGTGATGTAAGGGCAGCCCTGATTGGCTGCCGGGGTGGGGAGATGCATGCAAACTCTGCTGCATGGAGTTATGGGACTGATCGGTATGGGACATCTGCAGGTGCAAGAGGGAGACAGACAGCAAGAGAGAGGGGGAGTGAGAAATAAGAAGGTAGACACAAAGAGTGTTAAGAGAGGGGGGAAGGGGTTGCGTGGGAAGAAAGACAGGAAAAGCGAAATGAGTTCCAGCGTGAATAATGTGGAACAGGCCTCTTAAATGGAAGCTGCAACATTATACGGCAACATGAGCATGTGAGCATGACTGAGCACACATGCTGGCTACAGGCAGAGGCTGCACCTCGTTCCGATAACAAACAGGAACATATTTAGGGTTCAGAGATATTACTCTATAAACTTAAACATAATCCTAGTTTAACACAACTAGCATTGCATAGTGATGGACTGTTTCTCTGTGGGGAAAAGAAAGCAGCCCTTGAAGTAGATCTACTTACTGCATCATTCATGCCGTGGTTAAGGGGCTTGTCCTGGGAGAGGAGACCACCAGGCCCTTCTGCGGGGTGTGAGAGCTGGGGGCCATGGATGAAGTCACTCATGGGGGGACCTCCTCCACCTCCAACACCAGAGGGGTTCCCGTGAGGGAAGTCAAAGCTCACTTGGCTGTGGTAAGTGTGGCCTTGAAGGACATCAAATGTAAATACTTTAGTCAAAAAGCTAACTGCAGTTTGGCCTTGCTGACTTCTCTGATGAATCCATGCTGTTACAAAAAGTTAGCTTTTTTTTTACTGTTATGAAACATTTAACAGAGCAATGAGCTTATAATATTCTTTAAAACAGGTTCAGCAGAACACTCTCCTTGAGGCTTTTTCTTTGTTTAATGCACTAGAGACACATCAGTAGTTCCTGCTGCAAAGTGCAAAACAGCTCACTTTTCCAACAAATTAGCTGACTATTGTGTTATTTACCTACGCAGTGGGACCATGGCTGCTGTTCTTTACCTGCTCCAGGGTAATCTCCCCCGTTGCCACTAGGATGTTGACTGGGGTGTGGGGGGTACGGGCTGGGACCGAGTAAGGGGCCAGGTCCAGGTCCAGAGCCGGGCCCTAGCTGGGCTATCATCTCCATCACATTGGGCATGGTCATCTGACTGGGGCTCATGGTCTTAAAGCGCTTGGCGAGCGGCCCGTCAGGATCCTCTTTGATGTGTAGATCAGACTTTATGGGGACAGGTCGCCAGCTACATGTAGGGTCTATAGTCACCTCCTCAAACTCTGAACTGTTAAACGAGAGAGAAGTGCTTAATTAATAATTTTCAAACAATGGATTCAAAAGTAATGTGTTGATCTAGCAGAAGAAAGGGAAAACATACTTTTGGATGGCATTGAGGACTCCCCACATGTACTGGTCCACCTCCAGACCTTCTAATAATGCTGTTTTACTGAAAAGAGAAGACAATTATAATCCATTAGAGCAGTGGTTCTCAAATGGGGGTACGCGGACCCCTAGGGGTACGTTGGAGTACTAAAGGGGGTACGTGAGATTTTATTTATTTTTCAAAGGGGGTACATTATTGAAAAAAGTTTGAGAATCACTGCATTAGAGGGCTTATTTAATAGTAATATCATGTATTTCCTAAAATGAACAGCTTTTCGCTTACTTGCACACAGGACACCTCCATGTCCCCCTCTCACAGTTGAGCTGCAAGTAGGACTCCAGATCAAAGCACTGTGGAGAAAAACATCACAAATGCTCATTATCTTCTCCCGTTCACAGCCACATGTAACAGGATTTCAAAGCAGCAATTAACCTTTAACACTTGTTTGAATCTGAACAAACCTGGACATGTTTGCAGTCATGCCCCCGCGCGGGTAGTTGGATGCGTCGGAAGGTAATGGGACATTTCAGCGACACTTTAATAGCCGTCTGCTCCACGCCGTCTTCCCCGTTAAGAGTGGTGCTGCCTGTCGAGGCCGCCACGCTGCTGAAGTTCCTCTTAACTGAAAAGAAAAAAGTGTTTTACTTGTAAACAGTAGCAGATTTACTTCAATACCTACTTTAAAGCCAAACATAAAAGGGAACAGGTGTGGGATTGTGTAATTAAGATGTACTAATGCATATTAAACTACACGAGGAGACAAAATGAGACATACCCTTGGTGATGCAGTGTTCTGCAGGAAGGAGTCTTTTCTTCAGGAGCCCCTGGAGGACAGATCGCACAGATGGCCTGTGGACCAGCTGCAGCACAAACAGGTGGGACTGCAAAGCAACACAAGAAAAAGGAGATAAACAGGAAATCAAACAGAAAGTCTAATGAGCGCAACGCATATACTACGTTTTATCAGTCGCTCTATTATCGCATTATGTACTCTTAGAAATGATATCGTCCTGAGAGTGTGTACTCACACAGCAGCAGGCCGTGACTGTTATCTGGATGGTGTTTCGTCCAGGTTGGCAAACTTGCTTTAGGTGCAGGGGTTTGTGTGAGGTTTTGTTGTCTCCCCTCTCGATGGTGAGAGGCGTGGCGTTGACGCTGACCTGGACGGAGGCGGGCCAGTTGGTGTTCATCTGCCTATCTTCATGGTGGTAGCACTTAAACTGGAGCTCAAGGTCCGACCTGGGGGAGTAATCAGACAAGAGAGTCAGCGTTATCATTCAGAAAAACAAACAGAATCTGTGAACTAAAAGGAGCAAATGTGCAAATATAATAAAAGTGGAGTGTGTGCTGGTCCTACCTCCACATGAGGGTCTGGTGGACCGAGGGCCGAAGGTGGAAGACGTGGTTACTGACAGCCAGGTTGTGCTCCAAGCGGAACGGCTCCAGCACCACGCCATCTCTGACCGGGAACGTCAGCCGCAGCTCCTCATTGGGGTGAGCTGGGAGAAAAGAAAAAGAGGGGGGTCAGCTTTGAACCTTACACTGGTAAAGTGACAAGACAAAAGATACAAGAGCTCGAGGATAAAAGCAACCACCTGTTTCAGTCTTCCTTTGGTACTCACATGGAGGGGGCGGAAGTGCTGTCATATTTGGTTTCATGTCTGGTGGAAATGGGGGCTTCACATCCTGGTTTGGCGACAGGTATGGAGGAATACTACTTCCTGGGGTCATAGGGGGTGTGGGGTTTCCAGGGACCGGGGAGTGGGGGTAGTTAACAGGCCTTGGGGGCTGTAAAAGGCAGAAAAAAAAGCAATAATGAAAACATCTGTCTAACTCATTCCACATACATGGGTGAAAGTTAGTACAAGGGACATAACGAAAACATACCCCATTGCCTTGGCCATAAGAGTAACCGCCCCCAGAGAAGCTGTTGCTCTGACCGTTGAAGGGCTCTTGCTGTGAATGAAAAAAAGAGAAAGTATAATTTAGTATAATAATGTAGTTTGTTCCAGCATGGGCTATAAATATGAATCGTGATCTGTCTGTCTCTGTATTTGGCACAGAGCATGCTGGGATAGGCTCCAGCCTACTTAAGAGTAAGTAGTTGTAGTAAATGTTAAGATGGATGAATGGTGGGGTATAACAGACCTTGTAGTATTGGCCCATGGGCATGCCAGGCGGGTACTGTCCCTGCCCCTGCTGCCCAGGCATCCTCTGGCCGGGGTAGTTTGGAGATGGCAGCGGCCTGGAGGCGTTCGATGGAGGGTACTGCGCCTGCTGGGGGGGGAACTGACCGTTAGGCCCGTACTGCTGACCCCCGTAACTCGCCTGGACAAAGAAAGTGAAATGAAAAAATTTCAAACAAATGCCATATGACAAAATATGGAAAGATATCAGACCTAATTTCTAAAACAGGGGAAAATAACTACATAAACAGATCTTATTTATTTCAACAAACAAATGGATGTTAGGGTTTGGAGGTTTCTTTTCATGTTTTGTTTTTTTGTGGTGTTTTAACGGTGTTTGCCTTACGGCCCGTCTACACTACAGGCGTCAAAAAATGCTTTCAACACTTCGCCCATTCATTTGAATGGGGTGACGTAGGATATTTTTCAAACTTCGCCGAACTGCATTGTGGGTAGCATGGCAAGGCGTTGCAAGCATCGCGAGCGTCTATCGGCGTCAAAAGTTGAACAATGTTCAACTTTTGAGGCTCGATGCTTGCTCGAAGCTGGCGTCAGCCAATCAAATCCCGTTTTTGCAAATCCCACCAGTATAAGCGCTAGCCAATCAAACCGCGTGCAAGCTGGGAGAGCCAGACCGCAGTTCATTTCCTCATATTCCAAAGGAGAAATTACGGTAGCAAATCACCCGGTTCTTTACGACCAGAACTATTTACCGGGATACAAACTGGAGGAACCAGGCATGGAGGGAGGTGGCAGAGACAGTGGGTGAAACTGGTAGGTTTTCGCCTGTTTGGGGAATTTATATCCAGTTTACTTCGTTTTAACATTGCTATTGCTTTGTATGTCGGGGGCGGGAGATTCATGTGATTGGTTGTTGGTCGCGTTGCTCGCAAAATATCGCCACGCTTCAGATACGCCCAGCTTCAAGCTTTTTTGACGCCTGTAGTGTAGACGGGCCGTTAGTGTTGACTTTCCACCTGCAGGAAAGAACATCCCACAATCTCCTAATTGTTGTCAATCATCCAGTCTCACCTCTCCAGGATACGGCCTCTTCATCCCCTGCATGGGCATGCCCTGTCGGGGTCCTCCGGGATACCCCTGCTGAGGCATCCTTTGGCCGTGAGCTCCAAAGGGCACCATGCCTGGGGTCCGAGCCTGGTTCATGCCCATGGGAGGTCCGCTCATATTAGGGTTGTTCATGCCTGATCCCATGTTGGCTGGATTCATACCTCCAGGAGGGCCTCGTGGGCCTGGCTGGTTCATGAACTGGCTGTTGTAGGTCTGTGTGGGGCCCATTTGGAACGAAGAACACATCTGGAGGCAAAACAGAAGGTGTTTATGATTATTTAGGGACTCCAACAGGTGGATGTATAATCGTTTTCTGTGTAGATTTTTTATGTTAAAGCCTATTTGGTAACTCTAAACATCTGTGATTGGTGTGTACTGTACCTGTCCATACTGGTTCATATCTTTATTCTGGGTTTCCTGCATAGCTGCCACTGTGGCTGTTGCTGTGGCCGTTGCCGTGGCAGCAGCAGCAGCGACAGCAGCAGCTGCAGCTGCCGCGGCCGGCTGAGTGAAGTCACCAGGAGTACGTGAGTGGGAGGTCATTCCCATTCCTCCTTGGGGGGGGTTTGGACTTCCAGAGTAACTGTAAAAAAACACAGAACACACGTTTTAATCATTACGGTCGATTTTATTGCTTGATATTTTTTTTTAAGAGTCGTATGCAGTCGCTTACTTTCCGCTATATCCCCCAGGACCCCCAGGGTAGCCTGGCCTGCCATACATGCCCTGCTGCATGTACTGTTGATTGGAGCCGCCTTTGTTGGGAAACTGTTGCTGCTGAGCATTAAACTGGGGGGAGTTCATCCCCCCTGCACTGGCAGACATACCCGAACCCATAGGGTTACCTCCGGGGTTCATGGGGTTATTGCTATTTGCCATATGGTTACCTAGCACCTAGATCCAACAAATACAGAAACACAAAGTATACATTAGGGTTTGTAAAATAAACAAAGCAGGCAGAAGCTTCTGAGTCAAGCCTTAAATGTTTGTCAGAAGGATGCTGCTCATGACATACCTGACTCTGTGACGTGTTGGTGACGCCCCACACTGTTGTAACCACAGACAATGACCCAGGGGGCTGGTTGGTGTTTTGTTGCCAGGGGACAGAGTCATAGGGAAAGGATCCATCACTGGAAAGTAAATCAAAAACAAAAACATGAGCCTGATGTCATTTTAAGTTTCAATTGGCTTACAAAAATAAATAGAAAGCCAACAGAGTTGCATATCCGTCCAGAGATGTGAATAATTTGGGAATATTTCTTGCCAGAATGTGAAGCAATTTGAAATGTTTGGCGTATCATTTCAAAACACATTTCCAGCCAGGATATCTGCTCATGGCTGCTGCACAGTGAGAAGAGTAAAAAGCTCCAAATGAGCCCATGAGGAGTTGCATAGCCACACACACACCAGAAAAAAAACTAAATATGATTAACTCGTTTTTTGGAGCTGTTGAAAAGTACTTGGATATGGATGGGGAGAGTAGAGTTGGAATGTTTAACATTCAGATTTAAAACAAATATAAGGGCAAAATATGAGGTTCTGTTTCACATAATAAACAAGCTAAATCCTCAAGGGGAGAGACAAGTGGCCAGTGGAGTGGGAAAGTACTGCTGTTTTTGGAGCGCAGCTTGTTTTCCCTCAGGTTAGCTCCTGGAATGGACAACTTGTTCAATATTTCCCCATAAAGGCACAACATTATCCCTAGATCCTTAGCAGTGGCACATAGGACTATTGGCCAACTCTGTGCTTCACTTTATTTTCTTCGGGAGAGCTATGAGCACACAATGTTCCCCAAAACATTACTTCACAGCTCTCCAGTTTGTCTCCCCACCCCAAATCACCTCAGCTCCAGAGCTTTTCTTCAAAAATGGAAAATCTTTCTGGGCGTGTATCAAATAGCTGAATTCAAGATGATACTGAAGGACGACCTACTTCTGCACCCTGTCTCTTAAAGATACAAAAGGGCCCCTTAGTTAGCGTCTAACTTTTAAGCCTTTTTGAATTAGTTTGGTACAATATGGGAGAATGTGTTATGAAACAAATGAAGGGAAAAGGCAGAGAAATAGCTACGTTGTCAAAGCTTCGAGAACTTTATGGCATGTTTTCCTTTTCTTTATCCTCTATTTGGTTGCATTCTTTTTTCGTTCTCATTATACATCTTCCCTGTCATCTACACACACTTTCCCACAGCTCCCATCCACACAGACACTGCAACATCTAGACTCATAAGAGACTATATTTGTCATTGAAATATACAATGTTAACCTCGGCTTATTCCTCTTTTAAACGAGAAATGTCACCTGTTCAATGTTATTCCTCACAATGAAAGAACTCCCACTGATTGTTGTAAAAGACAAAGGTTACATATCAGCTGTCTGTTGCACTATGTTTGTGTTATTATCTTCTATTAAGCTTAATTCATGCTGACAGAGTTTATCTCACATGAGCTACAGACAACTGACAGGTGGCACACACGCATTAAGGCTGGTCTCAGTCTAAATATCAACAGGTTCAACACTAATTAAATCAAACAAAAATATTTGAATTTCATAAATGTACTCAAAGGTAGCAGGAGTGTCTGGCGTACCATATTCAATAGAATAACTAGAGCCAAAAAAAAAGCAGTTAACCTAATTTATTCAGAAGCAAGTGACAAGGCATTGGAGTGCCAATTCACAACTGTGCTTCACAGATTGTATGCTGTATAGTATTTTGCCCTTGATACTCCTCTTTTTACAGTTATTTTAAATACAATAAAAACTTCACACAGATAAAATCGGAAAACAGTAACCTTGAAGTACATGGAGAATCTGGGTTTACTGGAAAATAAGCACAGAGTTTATTCCTGTGACAGGCTCCCCACTGACCTGTGTGTGAGGCCGGGCTTCATGCTGTTCATGCTGGGCTGCATGGGGACTTTCCCCTGCGGTTCGTTCTGCCGGCTCTTCTGGTGACGCAGCAGGAGGAGACGACCCAGCTCCTCGCACCACGACGACAGCAGGGCTGCAAGGGAAACACACAAACAAACACACATGCATATGCGTTAGTCTCTGATCAACAAACAATCACACATTTCTCCTTCATGGACATGGGTCTGCTGCACTGTGTATTCATGTGGCTCTAGGTGCATGTCAAAGGTCCCATGTGAGAATGAAAACGGAAAACAGTTGTATTTTCTTTTTCAATTGTTATACCTTTAAAGGTCACCTAATATGCAAAATCCACTTTTCCTCTCTTTTATACATAAACATGTGTCCCCTCTGTGTAAAGAGATTCTGAAAGTTTCAGGAAAAAAGATTCGCTCACTTTTTGTCCTGATCCATTTATATAAAAACCTGTCTGAAAATGAGCTGATCAGATTTTGGCCACTTTATGATGTCATAACGATTTTTAGGTTTGTGTAACCATTAGCCAATACCCAACCAAGATCACACCCCCCACCTTATCACCTGAATCTCCCCCTAGAGCACCATTGTGTTCTTTGTAACCAAATATCTCTCAGAGGGGCGTGGAGAGTGGCTCCTTATTCTCATCTAAAGCAACAGACAGAGAATCAGCACTTTTGAAACAGGGCTGAAACAGAGAGGATTACGGGATGCTACAATGGGTGATCTGTTTGGTATTTCGAGGCCACACATGTTTTGTATATATCTGAGACCTATAATAAAGTAATGAAAAACAGTATAATAGGGGACCTTTAAAAGTCGACTTCAAATGAAAACAATTGCTATGCTGATTCTTCCAACAATGCAAAGGCCTGAATCATACGCTTGTGTCGAACACCTGATAATAGCTAGAGCCTCCAGGGGGCAGCCTTACTCAATACACCTCTGTTGATATTTGCCTGTGTGGATTTCACAATAGTTACATTACATCATAACCCCAACTGCAGTGTAAAATATAAACTGAAATCTCTCCACTAACACAAAGGACCTCCCAGTTTTTCAGCCACAGAGCGGGAGGGGCTGAAATGGAGCGTGAGAGGCACAGAGACAGAGTGATTTGGGTTACAGATATGATCTATGTAGGAAGTAAGAAACTGTGATATCTTCCCTCTCCTCCACTCATCAACACCACTTATTTCTTCTCCACACTTTCCACGTCCTTTCAAATCTCTAAGGACTGATCAAGTCGTGTAGCTTTCTCATCCTCCTCATGAAGACAAGAGATATTTATTTGTATCTTGCAATTTCATTTTATAATTGTTTTCCCCTATGCCAATCAACTTGTCATTCTTGAATCGATCAGAGTCCTGCGGATTATTTAAACACACCGCCTCTTGATCGTAGAAAGTTGTCTTGACAAACAAACAAAAGAAAGGTTACAGCGTTCACTACTTAATTAAATCATTCAAGAAGCTATTTTTAGTCCCGTAGACCCAGATACACCAGCTTTTATGAAGTTCTGTTGCCAGGTTTGGGGTTTGAAGATTTGAGTAGAATAGAGTTTTTTAAAAGTGTTTTGCGCCCTTAGGAAATCTTGAGGTTTAAACAATCTATGACAATGAATTTGGCATTGAATTCATAAGATTAACAAAGTCACACACGTAAACTGCCTGCGAGAATGCCTGTAAGTGAAAGGAAAATAAAAAAACATGGCATTAAATGAAAGAAATAACCAATTGTTGTGATTTCGAAATTGAATTGCTGTTAGAGAGTTGTGCCATCCGTAACCTGTACTAATTATGATTAGACTAGAGCTAACAATGCATCATCTTTTCTGAATGAATAATATTTGATCAGACAAGTTTCTACCTATAAAGACAAACAAAAGAGAAAAGGAGCGAAGGGAAGAAGAAAGAGAGAAAAGGAATGAAGAACAAAGCAGACGGGAGCAGTAACATTTTCCTCTGGAGGGTGGAGAGAGCCAAGCCTCCTAGTTAAAGAGGAATTATTCCACCCTGCCATTACGGAGAGCTTATCTCCCCACTAAATCACCACCTCTGCACCGAGGGACTGTCTCTTCAACTGGCAACCCACCATTTAGACCTAAAGATCATCTCCAAGCACAAGTGATGGAGCCGCTGCTGCAGGGAGAGAGAGGCAGAGGAGAGCAGAGAAGGGTAGAAGAGAGCAGAGAGGGGCAGCAAGCTATCACATCAGTGTGGCTACGAGCCACCAAACCCAACAAGCTGCCAAGGCTACCAGTCATTCATAATAGAGTGAAGGTCCGCTCAGGGCAACGTTCATATTTAGCAAGATGAGTACAGTGTGTATGACCTTGTTTTCACCTCACAGGCCCCTGTGTTAACACCATCACAAACCAGCAACTACTACACTCCTCTCACCCCTTCACTCAGCAGTAAATACCCTTCTCACACACTCCTCCTCTCAGCCTTTTTTCCCATCTGTTTGTTGACAGTATTATTAATTACGATACTAGTTATCCTCTCTTTGCTGTTTTTTTTAACTTCCCTCCTGGAGAAATATAGGAGCAGAGGTCAACAGTACAGGTGTCTGTCTCTTGACAACTCAATTTTCCCTCCTTTTTTTATTTATTACTATTTTATTTACACAAAAGCCTTGCAGTTTAATCAGATACTTAATGCTGAAGACAAGATCAGCCTCATCTGTTTCCAGTCCCAGTAGAAAAGTTGCTATAAAGAGTAGAGGAATTAAGGGTTTTCTTTCACAAGATTGATTTACAACATCATAAGATAATAACTTGGTTTTTGATGAGCAAATACTGCAATAAGCGAGATCAAAGAGACAGCTCAGTTTCGGGGAAATCATATTAGTTTTAATCCTCACACAGAGTGGATTGAACCTGGATGTTTTTCTTTCTATTTCTGCATGTACAGTAGCCTGAATGTTTAATAAGGCCAATCTTTCCCCAAACACTAGATATCCAAAGGATCAAGTAGCAGCTCTGCAGAACGTCAGTGCTACTTGATGAAGTGTTGACGGCCGTTTACAGTTGAGTAAGAAAGCTGAGAGATTGTAGCGACAGTATGAAACATTAGGCCTATCGGGAGCTTGTGTTGCCTGAAGCCACCTTTTCTAACACTGAGGGTTTGTGTTTCTATATCAGCATTTTCTCACTGGATACTTTCACAATCCATACAATTCTAGTTTAAAGCTGCATCTAATTAATCAGGGAAATGACATGTGTACTCAGACATACCCTTGTTCGTTGGAAATGTTTAAATGTGCATTTCCCTGCCCTTGAAAAAAGCTACTGCTTGTCCCCTAGAAATCCTGTAATTGAGTTTATCTAGGCTAATCTCACCATTCATACACTTAAACTGCAAGCAAGGACATCAAAATGCACTCATGACTGCGCAATGAGTCAAGTTTTCTCTTTAAATACGTGGATATAACACAGTTACTGCTACGGGTGATGGATGTCTACAGACTGCAGTGACACCAGAGTGAGTCTAAAGCTGCTGGGTGGTGTTGAGGTGGTGTTTTCCCAGGATTCTCTGCACTGTCTGAACACAGAGACCTCTCCCTAACAAGTGTCCTCTAGCAGCAAAGGGCAAAACAAGAGCTGATCCTCTTCAAATAGCTCCATTTCGTAAAAGCTGTGGCTTTTAATTGAGTAATACCAAGAGACATATGGACCCTCTTCACTCAGGCTGTGTTTAATGCTGTATGGCTGAGTGATAGCAGAAGCCCTGGGTCATTCTAACCTCACCTCAGCCCCTCAGGGAGCAGCAGGGAGGGAGAGTAAGCCCTGGTAACAGGCTGCAAGGTCCATTAACTAATGACAGAGTGTGTGTACAAGGAAAGCCCAATGCTCATTACAATGCACTCTGATAGTGCAGTGTGTGGGCAAGCATCTGTGTGTGGTACAAAGCCTCTGAGCATATCATTTGCTAGTTAAATCAGGATAGGTTGCTCACTATCTGATTCTAGGGGCGGTTTAAATGTGTCCGACATGATTCAGTTAAAGATGGTGGTGACACCCCTTTGTTGATAAACACCTGACATGATTTAAGTGTGAAGCCCTGGTTCCGCCACATGCAAGCTTCATCAGGGTATATCATGGCTGGGAAGGTGACCGAGACACCCTCGCCTTCACACAAACGGCTGTGCCCTTTAGGAAGGCATTTAACACTCAACTCTTTCAACAGAGATGCTGAGGCCAGCAGCAGAGTGTCATAGTGCCGGACAGTTCCCAGGTGTGAATTACTGAACTAAACGTGTTATATGACTACATAGGGAAGCATCATTTTTACTTTTACAGAGCATTTGGCCTATAGAGAAGAGAATAACTCGCTAAAATGGCCTAATTGTGTGCTAAACGCCAGCAATGAAGTGAAGTCCACACACTAAAATGGCAATTTCAGCAGGTGCAAACAGATTGTATTCTCTCCTGCAGCCCATCAGTAATTGTGGAGCTTGTCACATCGTCTGTGTTAAAAGGGCAGCAGAGATCACCAAAGACGTAGTGCAATTCTGGGATGAAAAAAGTAAAGCTATGTCTTAGAGTAAACGCTGGTGTTGCAGACTATGGTAAAGTTGCACAGGCACTCCAGGTTTGAAACAAAATAACTTGAGTATGAAAATACACCCTGTACGGCTGATACAGATTTTGTTCAAAGCAATTACACAAGATCAATCAAACACAAGAAAAAGCCAAAACGTGTGTGGTATTAACATAAAAATACACTGCTTATGTCTTGATCACTTTGTTGTGTTTATTTACAACTATTTAACAGAACAAACTCCTTATGGGTTTAAAGTTTTCAATGTTACTCAAATTGCTCCAGTGCCACCTATTTTCCTGTATTTGTTTGGGCTAAACAAACACATTACAGTTGTTGTTGTTGTTGTTTCTTTGACTGAAATTCAGTGCAGGAGGAGTGCATCTGGCTCCTCTGAAGAATGAATCTACACCTCCATATCAAGGTAGTGAAATGGCATCACTCAAGAGTTTGTGATACAGCATAATGTACCAGATAGAGGGCTTAACCCCTTGGTTGTATTTACCACTGCACTTCTTGTAAAGGAGATGTTACATTGGACTGTTTGTCGGATAACATTACAAAGCAAAGATTGGTGGCAATCAATGGCACCAAGGTGGCTGTGTAAGGTTTTCACAAGGCCCATTTCAAATGTATTGTTGTATTCTTAACAAGCATTGTGCTAACTATGCAGGACGTAATTCAAATCAAATCAGGTTTTATTTATATAGCACGAGTTTTGGTCGAGCCAAAGTGCTGTACATGTAATAAAAACACTTTACTACAATAGCAAACAGAAGACAACAAATAAAAACAAAACACAGGGAAATGTCAGGAGTCGTACTCCGCTCTGACTAGAAGGCCAGAGAGAAGAAGTGAGTCTTTAGCGTGGATTTAAAAACCCCTAGGGTCTGGGCCGACCTCACATTGAGGAGCAGACTGTTCCAGAGCCTGAGGCCAGCTGCTGCGAAGGCTCGGTCACCTTGGGTTTTGAGCCTGGTCTTGGGCACTATCAGCAGTAGCTGATTATTAAGTTCTTATAAAATAAATAAACCTTAATCGATCTCACATCCCTTCCCTCATACAACACCACGTCTTGGCCTTAAAATTCCCCAAAATCTGGCAATAATGCCAAATCTTGATCACCAACGCTGGACACGCCAGGCTTTGATAGAGACATGTAACACTGTGCATGCAGCTCTTCTGTAGTTTTGTTGGTAACAACACAGACAAAGGAGAAAATACTACATGAATAATTACACTTTTGGAGCATGAACACTGCGGCACTAGACAGAGAAGCCTTCAGACAATGTGTGGGATGACAACAAAGAAGCAGTTTTAAAAAGATATAGGCAGAGGTCTGTAAAACACTGGCAGGTAAGTCTATGCTTTGTGGGTACAAAGTATTATGCAAAAGACGAATATGGAGGGGATATAAAATCCTGCGAAATAAAAAAAAATAAGTCATGCTTTTTGCAAAAGTGTAATGGAAGCCATTTAAGCAGTCAATGATATCCCCCATCCTGCCCCCTCTCTGTTCAGCCAACTTCTTCCAAGAGAAGAGCATATCAAATGGGCTTTAGTCTCAACAGCTTAGAGGCAGAACAACTCAAACATGCCCTGCAGAGAGACAGCGCTGTGTCAGGAATCACACTCAACCAAAACCAGGCCTTTAATGTAACTAAATGTTCCCACAGATCAGAATATTCCAAATCTGAATCAGCCTCTAACTTCAAATGTGTTATTTCTGCTTTTTTTGACAGACTGAAATTTTCCTGAATTGTTTTCTTTTTCGTTCGCATTGGTAAAACCATGCAGTTTTTCTTTTTTGGCTGGTTTGACAGAATTTCATCCACGACCTCTGGCAATACACCAGACACGAGGACAGAGGGGGGGAGAAGATGAATGGAAGGATGCTAGACAGAGGACAGGTGGAGATGGAGGGAGTGGGCGGATCCCCTCCTCCCCGGGATGTGTGTGGGTCACAAGCCAAAGAGATGCTGCAGCCCAGAAAGGGAGGGTAGCTCTACCTGAGTCACTCTGACATCTCCTGCAGGTGCTGGTTTCTGTGGGGTTCAAATTACACATTTTTAAATGGGGCAGAGTTATAAGAATCAGCATGAACACCAAACATAATGCAGTATGACGACCGGGTCGGACTTAAGGTGCAAAATGTCGGAGTTCAGGCGGGAAATGTGGGATCTCCGTGTCGCATGTTGACACAAAAAACAACAAATACAGTAAATGACATATGTTATGTTCAGTGGGGTGTGACTAGTCCAACTGACTTGATTGAGACAGATTTACATTTCTTAACATAAAGTGACTTCAAATGTCCATTCTCAATGTGTGTGCTGTTATCACATGATTGAAGGACTAATAACTTAAAGCATTTTGTTGCAAAAGCTTATTTTCTTTATATATTACACTCTATTTTCAAGAAAATAAATGACTGGTTTAATTTGTTTCCCTAATTAATGTATGAACAGCACACTTACACCCTAAAAGTCTCCCTCCGGAAATTCAAATGAGCCTTAGTTCATAATGATATTTTTTTTTTTAAAAAGCAGGGAAAAAAACTATGAAAGATTTTTGGCATTACTCTTAATAATCCAAATTTCAAAATAGTTTATTTTCACCGACTAGTTCTTCCAGCTCTATTTAAGATGCTTTATATATATTGTCTCGCAAATGAGTACAACCACGTCAGTTGCAAAGCCCTTCAGGTTTGCTTTAGGTACATCTGTTATGACATTGTCCTATAGATTTGACCTACATCCGCGCTGGAATATGAAATTCAGGTGGCCGGTCAGATGTTCTGTGAGTCAGCGCGTCCTGCTTACAGTGTTAAGCCTGGGGTCACGGCCTTCCACATCTGTATCAGAAAACTGTCACAACACTCACAATGATCCTACGTAGGCTCACATCTATTATTCACATCTGAGTCACACACAATGTGCAGTAAATATGCACAGTTTCACTCATAGGCATGTAAAAGAAAGCAGGGAAATGCACATGGGCGCACAGGTATGTGGACAAAAGCATACGTACAAAAATTGAAAATAAAAAGTAGAGTAAATATGGAAACTGAGGTGTGTGTTGGTGAGTAAACAAACACAGTCGGTGTCTGTGCTTTGTGAAGATGTGCTTATAGAGTAAGGCGCCTCACACGGTGAGAAAGAGCATCAAAGAACAGCAAGCTGTGAATGAATTGCTCTTATCAGCAAAGCACAGCTTCTCACCACTGGAAGGGAACTAGTAAATATCACATTCCTAATTATAACCAGACACACTTCTTCCAGAATATGTATTTCATCTCACACTGTTGTTCCGTCAATGAAATCATTAGGGTGAAAAACACAAACAAGGATTCTCAGATTTCCTGGAGCTGCTGTTTCAATTATAAGAAAAGTGATTAAAAAAGGTGATGAGATTCCAGCTGTGGCCTTTTTTGAGGTATTTTAGTAAGGCAAGGACTTCTTGAGAAGTATCAATGGGAGGATGTCAACACACCTTGAGTGGAGCGCTGAATAGATAAGGAAGCAATTAACAAGACTGAAGAATGTCTTCCTGAAACACATCCTACATGAATACTGTGTAGCCTGGAGCCCTGAGAGCTCCACCCTCTCCACTATCACTACCTGACATCAGCTTGTCCAACCAGAATTTCCTCTCTTATCTCAAGCAGTAACTCTGACACAACTTTACCTATTCCCACTTGCTTTCAGTCAGAGGAAGGGGGGGGGGGGATGTCAAGCATGGAAATGATTCACAGAAAAAGCAGAAAGACATTGCAAAAAAACAAACATAGAGTTTAAAATCAAATGTCATGAATGAGTCACCAGACAGGCTGATGGGAAGTACTGAGGGTGCAGTCACAGAAGTGTGTTGAGTACGAGATACAAACACAGCTTTGGGGCCAGAGAGAAAGGAGGAAGGCCAGAGGGAGAGGGCGGCAGCATGTGGCTTTAAGGGTGAGGAAGTAGGGTTGTGTATTGGCAAGAATCTGTACATATCATACAAAGATACTGGGGATTCAGTATATTAGAGTACTGTAAGCAAGGGGATACATCTATTTTTAAAATCCAATAAAATACTATTATTATTTATTTCTAGTCTTTTAATTTCTCTAATGTACAATGCCTTGTCTTTTTATGCTGCTGCAACGCAAACATTTCCCAAATTGGGATCAATAAAGTACTTATTATCTTATTATAAAATAATTGATAGTATAAAGAACCTTTGTCCATATGTTAAAATCAGAGTAAAATGACAATAGTTATGAGTTAATTAATTCATGAATCAAAGACCCTGTAACAACATCTTGTGCAATCTGGGCCCTGCCTGCCAAAACACTTTGAAAGTGAATAATATTCACTTATCAGTAGTTTTTGAGTATTGATACAATATACCAAAGCATGATATCATGATACCGTAGGCGTAGAGTATGGATATTCTTGTACACTCCTGTGAGGATGCAAAAAAATGTTTCTGCGGTTTACACCCTGCTCTGGCTAACAGGAAGTGATGCAGGCCAACGACAGCTGTTGAAGAGTTTTCTACATAAAGTCAATCTTGTTGTTGTTTGCAACAGCAATTAAGTTGTCAGTGTTAAAATGATGTCAAACATTATATAGCCAGCAGCATCATGTCACTTTTACTGCCTGACTGCCCTTTACTCATTCATGTAAAGTAAGTGTTTTCACCTAATGAGACACTGACTTTACCATAACAGCAACTTTTTAACATCACTGAAGAGTGAATGAAAGAGTGCACTGATCTAACTGCATTGTCCTTCCTCTACACAATGCCTAATGTTCACAAGGACTCAATCTTACCTCAATACATAATTGACAGCAATGGCCATTATTGTGTCCTTAAGGTGTCTAAAGTAAATAAACTAAATACAAACTGACAAAACCATGTGTTTTTGTTCCTTCTATTTCTGTTATAATTAAATAACTATTTTACTATGTGATTTTATTTTCCTAACCCTGAGCATGACCTTACATCACAGCAATTGTAACCCCACCATTAACCCTCAACATAAAGAACAAAACATCACCTTAACTGTAACCTTTAACCACAAAACCCAGAAACAAGACAACACTTAACCAATACACACGTCAATGTACTCTTGTGCACATTGCACACAGGCAGAAACACACTCAGAGTAACCCTTTGACAGAAGCACATGTAGGTCAACCTGTGGTCAGCTGATCTGCCCTGATCCTGTGTGAGCAGCCAGTGCTTTGGACTATACTCCCACTAAACACCAGACAAGATGGAGGAAGCCCATTTTATCAATGGCCTAAATTACAGCTGTAGACATAACAATGACAAAGCACAATTTAATTGAAAAGTTTTGCATAAGAATTGACCTAAATCAACTTCTCAATTGGCCTCAGTTAACTCCTGATCCTGCCCTACGCATACTCAGATAATATACCAAACAGCTTTGTGCAGAGATACACACGTGGACAGCGGACACAAACACACACACAGACACTTACCCAGAGCCAAGCAAAGTCCCTGCACATCTCATCTTATTCCCTTCATAGTGCAGAGAAAAGACTCAAGTGTCACAAATGCTCCTGTTACGGCAGAGGCCAGTGGCAACTCTCAAAGCTTTTGCTGCTTCCAAGTCTCCTGCCTGCGCCTTATCACTCCCAGCACATATCCCTTACTCTACTCACTCTTTCTTTCTCACTTCCTCTCTCCTCTCCTGTCTTCCTCTCTTCTTTCCCTTTGCTCACTCTCCTTCTCCTCCCTTGCTCTCTGATCTGTCTTTTCCCCTTGTCCAGCGTCTGCACAATGCACATCAATTATTCAGAGGCAGTCTCCCGGTTTCTCCGGCTTATCCAATCAGAGCGGGGCTCTGGACTAATGGGCTCCTGCTGTACCTGCTACCGGCTCCAACACACTCTCGAGACGGCAGGGGGGGGAGGGAGGGAGAGTGGGAGGGAAAAAAGGGAGAGAAATAGACAGAGGGAGCAGAGGAGACAGTCGAGGAGGAAGGAGGAAGCGATAAAGACAACGAGACGTCGCAGACAAACAGATAGAGAAGATATTCCAGTGTTTCTCACCTCTGTCGTGAGGTGCTGTTATTGATGTGCTCTGCCTAGTCTGTCTAGCGCTCCATTGCCCTGTTACTCTAAGCTGCCGTCACACACGTAGACACACGGGAACACACATGCACACATGCATAATCTGACAATGTGACTGCCATTTGTCAGGAAGGGCTAAAAAGAGGAAACAACAAGAGAAGAATCTGCAAGCTCAGATTGCAAACTTGCATAAATGGGTGGAGCCAAGTATGCTATGCAAGGCTGGCTGCAGACCAACACATGAGAGAGGAAGTGGGAGAAGATAAAGCATGAGATGTAAAGATCAATCTACTCAAAGGCAAACAAATAGTAAGTGATCAAAGAGGGGATTCAGGACATCTAACCTGACAACGTCCCCTTGTCTTCATCGGAGGCCACTTTGTAAATCCCATTAACAACACACATCAGAGTCTTGCAGAATATCTGAGTGCAACTGAATTAAAGAAGAGGCAGAATGATGAGGGTGAATCTGAGTTCAGCTTCTCTACGCCCGCCCCTACCATAACCCAACATGGTGAAAAAACACACTGACTGAATGAACAGGAACGCTATGATTGTTCTCTCTGCTCACCTAAATGTTGAGATGTGCAGCTGAAGAGCGGGAACGCACACTGGCCTTGTGACCGCAGAGGGAAGTTGTCTTTTTGTGTGACAGAGACACAGTCATCAACAGTTGCACCAATCACAGAATCGAAACAGACACAACAGCGGCATTGTTGGACAGAAATACAACTTGTAAAGGGTGTAGCTAAAGGCCCCTAGGGGATGATAAGGAGGGGGAGGGTGGGTAAGTCCTGAGGTAAGGGTGCCAGATCAGTCAACCCTGAACAAAAGGAGGATTTAAATCATTTGCTCATCTAGTTTTGACAAGAACTAAGTACAAGAACAAAGTACTCTGTGTTGGGGGGTGCTTCTGCACTGCCGGCTCAGCTGGGATATTACCAAAATGAGTTTACTTGCAACTGTGTAAACCTAACTAATTAAATAGCAATTGATAGAGGACCCAATCAGCCAGAGGCAGTAACATGCAGCTACCCTAATAAGTATTTCCCCATGAGCTTTTTTGCTATAAACTTCATAGTGAAGTTCTGAAGGTAGATTTGGGTTGCAAAGGGGTTTCATCATCTAAGGCGAGCCACTGGAGAGTGTCAGAGGAGAGGCCTAGCCTGCTAAAAATAAACCCTGTTTCCTGTTAATAATTCAGCGCGCTGCTCTTACTCAGCAGTAATTAAATATAAAAGTCTGTAAGGTTGATTGGGTCAGTAACAAAAGGATGCCTACACCTTCCTCTAGTTCTACACACACAGCTCAAAGATGGAAAGAAAGACGGGGTGAGAAAATCAATCAGGGGAAAGTAAATTGAGACAGATAAGTGGAAGACTGTTGTAGGCCGGAGAGAGAGGATGTGTGTGTGTGTACAGACACTTACCCACTATGCAATGACATCTCTAAAAAGGCTAAGGGGAGTACCCTCAGCTGCACTTGCTTACTGAAGTATGGAGATTATGAGTTGGTGAAATGTTTTTGTGAGCTCTGTGTGTGGGTCGGTGTGTTTTTACAGGACATGGAGTTACAGCCACACCCTAGAAGTTGTCTGTCTTGTTGACACAGCAGAGTGGCTGTTTTCCTGAGATTAACTGTGAGCACACTGTACAATTCTGCTGGAACAATTTTACTTTTTAATGTCACACGCGAGTAGGCAGAGGGAATACTAAAAACACCCAGGAACAAAGGAAGATCTTTTCGTCATATTTTCCCTTTTCTTTCTCCAAACCGCTAAAAACAAAGACAATTATCACATGTATAGATAAAAGAGATCTTAACAATCACCTGCTCTTTAACCAACATAATAAGCATTCACTACTGGAGCTCAACCTTCTGATAACATGAGATGCCAACATCAATTATGAAATTGTTATTTCTGTGAGCGAGACAGGGGAACAACAAGCAGCAACTTGACTTTAAGCATTAAAGTAGTTTTCTTAGAACATACTGATCATTCCAGGGAGCAGCAACCTTTTATCCCGAGCGTGTCAGGTCATGTTGAAAAAACAACTGAGTAACACTTCAGATTTACTTTCATCTATAAAAAACTTAACAGGAGGAGAAAAGGCAAGTTAATTCACATTTAAAAGTGTCATAATGATAATGTTATGGGTTTATTATCGGAGCTCATGCTTCATAAAGAAAGGAAACAACTATGTTGGTGACAAGAGTGGCAGATTCACTGAGGAAGGAAACAGTAAAAGCCTTGATAGATTATGCGCCTAATCTGATTTAGAGGCTGCTGAACTTCACAGTAGCCCAACAGCTCAGCTCTGTCTGTTTGTAGGGCAGCAGCACATCTATTATCTAATGACCCTCTCTGCTGGAGGTCAGCTAGTACAGTAGCAGACTACAGATTATAACAGGGAAACATAGACAACTCTATGAAGATTCAGGAATAAACAATGACCTGTAAAGCACTGTGTTCAAAAAAGCATCATTTCAAGAGTGTAAACTAAACGCACATATGCTAGCCGCTAGTATGCTAACTGCGTAAAGCTGTCGGAGAGAGAAAACAGTGATAATGCTAGCTCACATAACAGAAGATTAATCTCATTCAGATTAGAGCAACAAGCTAATCCCTAAAACCTCGCTACAAGGTCGTAAATTTAAGACAGCTCATCAACTGCAGTCTGCTGTCGCTGAAAATCTCTCCAATGAGATTGATAAGTCTCACAGGGCAACACTTATGGGATAAGTGCAACTTCAGTGCGACTTCAGGCATTTGAGGTTGTATCTTTATTTGAGTAAAGACAGGGAGCACATGCAAAAAGAAAATGATAAATGCAAGATGGAAAATGTTCTTTATACTGTAGATGTGTAAATGTTCTATTAGCCTTTCTAATAACTTACTGGCAATCATATATCACTAGTAAATTCATCTTTTGCACGCTCCCTTAGGGCTGCTCGATTATGGCAAAAATCATAATCTCGATTATTTGGGTCAATAATTGATATCACGATTATTAAAAAAAAATGTGAACAGTATGTTTTTAACAGTTGATTACCCTGAACTTTAAGTATAATTCAACTGAAAAAACAATTTTTTATTTTTTTATTTAAATAAATAAAAATAAAAAAATAATTAAAAAAATAAATAAATAAATAAAATAAAATAAATAATCGTTTTATTTCTATTATGTTGTTTTCCTAATCGTTGCAAGCCAAAATCGTAATTGCGATTAAAATACGATTAATTGAGCAGCCCTACACTCCCTGCAGCAAGACCATTTTGTAGTTGAGTGAGAAAAGCACATGCCAAGCTACATTTGCAACGACTCAAGTTGTGAAACTGTTAGCAGAAAAGTAGGGTAGCAATAATTGTTTTATCAATTTCCTCTTTAACCGATGCTCTGAAGGGAAGCGTCTGTGTGATTGATTTGCAGTCTTAAGAGTCTGCCTCTCTCCCCAGAGGAGCTCCGCAGAGAGCATCCCAGACTCCTCGGCTCTCGTCTGGGCTCTCAGGTGTCAGAGCCGCGGCCCTCTGTCGCCATGCAGGCTGTCAGAAGATTGTGCTGGGGTTTGCACAATTAAACACACATTCATGGATGAACAGATACACACACAGTAAAGACAGTAAAATGATGACTTTACAGGCCAATGCTTCTCTTCATCCTTGTTGCTACATTTGTATGACCGCATGTATGTGTCTCTGAGTTAGACTGTGCATCAGGTCTCCTCTGCTGCCACCCATCTGCTTTTTTCAGACAGACGTCCTTGTAAGGGAGGTAAGACGAATGCTAAGTGAGTAAGATCTGCCCTGAGTCACATATGCCTCCCACCCTTACAGCCTGCCTGCCTTGTTTGATGACTAGCCCGACATATCTCCAACCCCCCCCCATCCCGCATAATTACACTACAGTTCCCATTTGTCCGCTGTGCATAAACAGCTCTTCCTGAAACCCAGTGCTGTCTTCTATTAGATCCCAGAACCATCAGTAGGCCTGAGGATGATTCTGACTGTCAGTCGGGCCCAGACAGCCAGCCAGTCAGAGCCATGCCTGGACAACAATCACATTACCCCAACACAGGAACACACAGAGAGAGAAACACAGCAATCAATATTGTTCACTGACATCTGTCTGACCACTTAGATTCCTCCCAGCAAGACGCTTCCCACCACAACTGAAAGAGGATATCCGGCTCGAGCAAAATGTACATATCATGGGATCATGTTCGCGAAAACACATCAGAAACTGATACATATCAAGCCTTATATTCAGATGCAACACATCCCATATTAAGAATAAGAGGGTAAGATTTCAGACCGTCTCAGTTACTGTCACTGCACTTCCTGTTATAAAATAGTGATATATTCGCCCAGACAGAACAACAAAAGAATCAGACAGCTTAATCAAAAATATTTGAAACAAGCGGTTTATCTGTGTTCTGACTGGCTGGCTACAGATTTGTCAGGCAGAGTGAGTGGTCCAGCAAACATCAGCGACACCTCCCCGGCCATCCATCTCTTTCGCTCTCTCCCATCTCCCGCCTCTGCACATTTCACTTTGACAAATGCACAAGAACAGGGCCGCTCCTGCAGGACTGTGGGAGGCGGGGAGGGGAGGTATGGATCGGAGAGGGGAAATTGGATTTGATAGATAAATGTCTGAGGATAGCATTACTGCTCACTCCTTCTCTCTCTACTATCCATGTGTGTGTGTGTGTGTGTGTGTGTGTGTGTGTGTGTGTGTGTGTGTGTGTGTGTGTGTGTGTGTGTGTGTGTGTGTGTGTGTGTGTGTGTGTGTGTGTGTGTGTGTGTGTGTGTGTGTGTGTGTGTGTGTGCATGCAGGTGTGGGTGTGAGTGGAAGGACTGTTGAGTAGACTGTTTTTGTGAAGCTACCACCCGGACAGCTCATCTCAATAGCACATTAATGTTTAATGGGGACTAAAAATATCTGACATTATACAGTAATGCTCTATGGGCTTTTTGTCTGATGTCTGTGGTCGCAGTTGCACATTTGCAAACCACAACTTCATGGTAACTCTATTTGGTTTTTAAGCATTGACAGGAACAAAATAGCATACAAGCTAAACTGTTAGTGTAATTATTGTGTTAAGTATTAGGCAGCTACTTTGTGCATTCATGGCCTGAGCTTGAAAATGAAACTCTTCCATCTACTTCTCTCTTTAAACAATACAGCGTTTTGTATTAATTGTTTTATTGAATGAAAAAGTAGGTAATAGCAGCATGAAGAACAATGAGCACTGTGTAGACCACTGTCTTGCAAGTCAACAGCAGCAAATGGGATGATGTATGAGCATGCATCTGCTGGTATTTTAGTAAAGGGGTGGGTCTTACCTGCAGACTTGGGAGTGAATTTGTCCCGGTTAGCAGCACACACAGCTAGTACCCTGTAGCCCAGGTCCAGATCGTACCCCTGCTGAGCAGCGACGCGACTCACCACCTGCAGATCAGCAT